ACCCCATCTCGACTGAAAATACAAAATCAGCTGGGTGCGGTGTTGCACACCTGCCATCCCAGCTACTGGGGAGGCTGAGGCCGGAGAATTGCTTGAACCTGGAAGGCAGAGGTTGTGGTGAGCCGAGATCACGCCACTGCACCCCAGCCCGGGCAGTGCAATGTGAAAGTGTCTCAAAAAAAAAAAAAAAAAAAAAAAAAGTCACTAAAGTTATTTTCACTTTTCTGAACGCGGCTACGAGGAGATTTCCGCTGACATCTGTGGCTCTCGTGAGATCTCCATCAAGTGCTGCTGCACCCATAGGAGTCAGGAGACGGTGGCCCCGAGGCATCTGGTCAGGGACAGAGGGGACATCTGAACCTGGATCTGACTGTCACTCCCAGGACACTCTCCTCCTGCGTGGGGTGAGGCGGTCTGAGGGCAAGGGTCACTGACCAGCTGTTTCTGGGGGAGAGCCAGAGCTGTGATGGGAGGGCAGTTCCCTTCACCAGGCCTGGTTGTTCTTCAGCCTGCATTCATTGAGTGCCTGCTGTATACCAGGCCAGCGTTTGCACCCAGGACAGGATGAGTGAGCACAAGCCCACGGGGCCAGGCCAGGAGGCAATGCCTGCTGGGCCCAGTCTCCAGCTGGTCACACCCCGGTGGTCTGCAGGTCCCAGGCTGACGACCCCGGTCACTCCCCACCTCCACCCTCATCGCAGGGGCCCAGCCCAAGGCAGCACAACAGACATTTCTGAGGCTCAGGGGCCAGGCATCCAGGACTCTAGGGACACCGCGGGCCTTGGAGAGCAGAGTCAGAAAGACTTTCCTGGTGGTGAAGCTGCCTAAGCCCACTCCTGACTCGGGTGGGGTGAGCCGGGGCTGCCCCTCCCCAGGAAGGCAGCACACTGGTGCCTGGGAGGATCGAACCGGAGGGGCTGCGGCCCTTCCTGGGGGTGGCATGGAGCCCCTGTGGGCTGGGCGATGGCTGGTCCTCCAGTCCCAGATCCTTCCACATGGCCCCTCTAAGGCCACCAGGAACTTGTCCAAGTTAGGAATTTTCCATCCTCCTGGGCAGGGCTCCGACAGACGGGACAAGAGTGGGGTGGGGATGGGGTCTGGCCAGAGAGAGGCCACTGCCAAGGACACAGGCCTCACCTGCCTGGGTCCCACTGTGTGACCCTGGGTGCAGCGGGGTACCCTGGGGGTCTTGGTACCCCACCTGCCCCAGGAGGGGCTGAGACGGGCTGGGACTCTGCCAGGGTTTGGATCTCTCCTCAGAATGGGGACAGGGAGGTCCTCACAGAGCTTCCCACATGGGTTCCACAGGCTCAAAGGCTCCAGAGCCCTGGGCCATGGAGGCAGGACACAGAGCCCAGGGTGGGTAGGGCCCCTCCCTCTGCCTCATGGGGACACAGCTGGCCCGGCCCTCAGCCGCCACCCAGCCTGACTCCTGCCGCCTTTCCAGGAGGATCGTTTCGTTCATGGCTAGAGCCCATCCTGAGGCCCTGCCTGGGCTGGGGACTGTCACATGGCCGCCTCGGGGCCTGTGGTCCACGCATCACAGAAGGGAAGCCTAAGCCCACAAAGAGACCATGTGACCCACCCAAGGCCATGCAGCCCAACGGCCCGAGGAGCCCACAGGCTCTCAGGGAACTCCCCGCCAGGATCCAGGTGCCAGGAGGTCCTGGGGCAGCCCCAGGGAGGAAGAGGTCTCTGTGCCACCTCACACAGGTGGGTGCTGGCTTTGCCAGAGCACTCCTAAGGGCAGGCCACCCTGGGCTGGACACAGGAGGGGTCCCCCATGCCTCGGGACTGGAAGAAAGCTCCCGGAGGGCCAGGTCTTGTCAGCTCGGAGCCTGCTGTTCCCACCTGGGGGGCTGCCCCTTGGCGTGTGAGGGCCTCTGCTGGGTCGGAACAAAGGCCTGAGGTGCGCGGGCGCCGGCTTGTTTGGACCTGGCGTGACTTTTTCCAGTGATCTGTTTATGACAACGGCAGGGAAGAGCTTAGTGTGGAGACGCTGACTCAGCCTAAGCCGGGGCGGGGGCCGGGCGGGGCCGGAGAGAGACGGAGGGACAGAGAGGGACAGAGGGACCCAGAGGGAGAGGGAGAAACAGAGAGGGAAGGACAGAGACATGTAGAGAGAGATACAGAAAGAGGGCAGTACACCTGGCACACACGCACACACATACCCTCACACACATGCACACACGCACACACACCCTCACACACATGCACACACGCACACACATACCCTCACACACATGCACACACGCACACACATACCCTCACACACATGCACACACACCCTCACACGCACACATGCACACACACACCCTCACACACATGCACACACACCCTCACACATGCACACATGCACACATACCCTCACACACATGCCCTCACACACATGCACACATGCACACACATGCCCTCACACACATGCCCTCACACACATGCCCTCACACACATGCCCTCACACACATGCACACATGCGCACACACATGCCCTCACACATGCACACACATGCACACACACACACACACACATGCCCTCACACACACCCCCTCACATGCATGCATGCACAAGCACACATGCACACATAAATGCACACTGCACACACACATGCACACACACAGTCAGCACCCACTCAGGCTGCACCAGGCCAGGACCGTGGGGCCCAGGGACCGGGCCTGCTGGGAGATAGGCAACATGAATAAAAGCGGCCCACACGCACCCAGCACTTTCATGTTCCTGCCGGTCCTGAGCCTGCCGCTGCCTCAGCTCACCCACGTAGGACCCCGTGAGATGCATGCTGCTATCACCTTCGTTGAAGGTGCAGGGTGTGGGGCAGCCTGCCCAGCCCTCCCTGGGCAGAGCTCCGCTTGGCCTCAGAGGTCCAGGCCAGGACTGCAGCAGGGCAGGCAGACTAGGGCTCTGGGCTTCTGATCCTTCAGCTGCACAAGCAGTGACTGGGGTCGAGCTGTGGCCTGGAGGCCTCTCTGCCCGTGCCACGATCCCTGCCTCCACCCCGATGTCCCCAGCCTGAGCTGTGTGTGTGTGTCAGGGACACAGATGCCAGTGTAGCTCAGGCAGGGGGCTGCCCCCGTGACTCAGTGCTGGCTGGGGTCAAAGGGCACGCTGGGGTGTGGACAGTCACAGGGGACCACTGTGGGGCCCCGCCTGGGCCCTGAGCTTCTAGTCCAGCTCCCATGCCCAATGGCCACTGCGAGGCCTGTCTAGACCAAGGCCCCCAGCCCGGACACCACACCAGCTGAGCCGGGTAACACCAGGAGCTGCGGGGGGTGTGGCCCGGGGGTGTCGCCTCACCCATCTCTATGTCAGTAAACTGGGGACGGGGCACAGAACTTCCCCATCCAGCTCTAGGCCGTGAGGAGCCTGGGGACCAGGTGGGGTAGGGGGCAGACGGGGGCTCCCCAGCCAGCCGTGTCCCACTGTCCCGGCCTCAGGGACCCCACCCCACTCTGCCTCCCTCCCCTGCCTCAGCCCCAGGAGCCCGCCTCTGACCTATTCTTAGGCAAATCTATCACGCAAAAACTCCCCTGCTAGAGGGATTTTAAAGAACCCGAGACACTGGGCCTCATCCCGTGGTAACGGGGACACTGAGGCCTGAGGAGTGAGGGGCTGGCCAGGTCGTGGAGCACAAGTCCCGGTTCCACAGCGAGTTGGCCCTGGGAGGTGGGGGCTGGGCAAGGCTGGGACATCTTGGTGTCAGGCTCGGGTTCCTACCTGCCCCTCGCCTCCCTCCTGCCATCCCTGGCCACCCGAGACAACTCCTCCCACTTGATCCTGCCCACCCTCCTGGTAACACCCCACCAGCTGCCCTCACTTGCACTGGGGGCCCTTCTGTACTCTTTTTTTTCCTTGAGACAGAGTCTCACTCTGTTGCCCAGGCTGGAGTGCAGTGGCATGATCTCAGCTCACTGCAGCCTCTGCCTTCGGGTTCAAGTGATTCTCCTGCCTCAGCTTCCTAAGTAACTGGGACTACAGGCATCTGCCACCACACCACGGGAATTTCTGTATTTTTAGTAGAGATGGGGTTTCACCATGTTGGTCAGGCTGGTCTCAAACTCCTGACCTCAGGTCATCTGCCTGCCTCAGCTTCCCAAAGTGCTGGGACTACAGGCGTGAGCTGCCATGCCCAGCTGAATCATTGTTCTGGCCAGAGGATGGGGACAGAGGGCTGGGGCAGCCAGCAGACGTTGACCTGGGACCCTTCCCTCCCAGCCCAGCCGTGGGCTTGGCTCTACCGGCAGAGGGGAGCGGCGAAGGCGCCAGCAAGGGCCCTGCCCAGCCTGCCTTGGAGTGAGCCCGCTGGTGGCTGGGGAGATGCGGGAGGCAGGGAGGATTGCTGTCCGAGTCCAGGCAGTGCCGGGGTCCCTGGGCCAGGCAGGGGTATTGGGAGGAGGTGAGGAAAAGGGTTCCAGGGTCTGGAGATGGACTGGAGGTGGGTGGACAGAGACGCGGATGGCAGCAAAGGGCTTCTGAGCGGTGTGACTTCTGCCTGGGTCCTGGCTGGGGGTGGGGGACCCCCATGCTCCCTGTGGCTCCAGCTTCCATTGGCCACGCACACCTGGTCCCCACGGGGGTCATTGCAAATGCCCGTCCACGCGGAGGGGCTCCTGGGAGGCTGGCAGAGGGGAGGGGCAGAGCCATGGCGTCCCGTCCCCTTCCACGGTTCCCCACTGCTAAGGTCCAGGGCTGGAGAAACTGGGCCTCTCCTGCCCAGAGTCTTGGGAACAGGAAGAGAAGCCGGAGGCGGCACTGCATGCTGGGGGCGGGGGGCCGGTCACAGGGTGCACCGCCCCCCGCCACGGCCCCGAGACGTGGTTCCCATCAGCCCCACTTTGGTGAGTCCGAGGCTCAGAGCGGGCAAGCGACGAGCTCAGGGTCACACAGCCCGCCAACAGCAGGTGCACCGAGGCCCGGCATCCCGTCCCCCGAACCCGCCCCGCCCGGGGCCCTGGGGCCTCACCTTCTGCACCTGCCTGTCCCCGCAGGGAGCCGCGAGGCTGCCTTCACCTACGCCATCACCGCGGCTGGCGTGGCGCACGCCGTCACCGCGGCCTGCAGCCAAGGCAACCTGAGCAACTGCGGCTGCGACCGCGAGAAGCAGGGCTACTACAACCAGGCGGAGGGCTGGAAGTGGGGCGGCTGCTCGGCCGACGTGCGCTACGGCATCGACTTCTCCCGGCGCTTCGTGGACGCGCGGGAGATCAAGAAGAATGCGCGGCGCCTCATGAACCTGCACAACAACGAGGCGGGCAGGAAGGTGGGTGTGGGCGCGGCCGGCGGGCGCATCGGCTGGAGCCGCCATCACCTGCGGGCCGCTCGGAGCCTCGGGCTCCTCTTCCAGCGGAAGTGGTTGAGTCCCGGCACCTGTGCGGCAGGCGGGGCCCGTCTGGGTCCTCCACGTGTGTGGCTCTGAGCCTCCCAACACCTGGAGGAGGCTGTCCCATCCGGAGATGCGAGAGCCGGGGCTCTGGGTGCTGAAGTCATGCTCACAGCCCCCAGCTGAGACAGGGACTCTGTTTCCATGCAGGGTGTGAGCTGGGCTCAGCTGGGGACCCCGGGTGGGGGGACGTCGCAGGCCACAGCCTATGTCTCTGCCCTTGGCATTCCTGGTCCCAGAGGTCACATCAGCACACCAGGAAGGACTTTCTGGCAGAGGCCGGCTTTTACTCAGCAAGGAAGACATGCCCCCAGGAGGCAGGAGCCGCCTGAGGAAGGTGGACGCTGTCAGCCGGGGACTGTGGGGGAGCAGGCAGCTCCTGCATGGGGCCCGGGGTGTGGGGAGGTGGCAGTGGAGGAAATCCAGGCAGGGACGCACTGGGGAAGAAGTCAGAGCGAGCTGGGCCCCGCCCGCTGGAGATGAGGGCCCCAGATACTAGGCTGGGAGGCGGCAAGATGGCCTGAGATAGGGCAGCCAGCCAAGTGGAACGCCCCACCGACTCTGGCTCCAAGGCCTGGGGGCTCTACCAAGGGCAGCAGGGCCTAGGGTGCTCCTCACGTGTGGGACAGACTTGCCTTTCCAGGCAAAGAGGACTTGAAGAATCCCTCGGCCCCAGGGACCATAGCTGAGGCCACCCGTCACCCACTGCCCTTTTCTATGCCGGGTGCTAGGCTGAGCACAGGGCAGAGAGAAATCACACAGGGGCCTGGCTATGGGAACTGGGTCCATATGAGGGGCACAGGGGTCACACCCAGGACGGTGAGGGCCTGGGAGTCTAGGAGAGTGTCAGAGTGGAGCCTTGAAGGCCACAGGGCTTGGGAAGCAGGTAGGGCCTGGCACGGAACAGGTCTTGAACACCAGCCCAGGGGTTTGACTTTCTCTTGTAGATGTGGAGGTTACTTGCAAGTGATTATTAAGTTATTGTTGGATGAATGGATGGGTGGATGGATGAATGGCAGGATTGATGGATGGGTGGAGGGGTGGGTGAATGGGTGAATGGATGGATGGATCGATGGGTTGGTAGATGGCTGAGTGGATGCATGGGTAGATAAAAAGATGGATGGGTAGATGGATGAGTGGCTAGATGGGTGAATGGGTGGCTGGATGTACGAGTGGATGGATGGATGGAAGGATGGGTGGATGGATGAGTGGGTGGGTGGAAGGATGGACAGAAGTATGGGTAGGTGGGCGGGTGGATGGATGGATAGATGAGTGGATGGGAGGGTAGATGGATGGGTAGATAGATGGGTGGGTAGATGGTTGAGTGGATGCCTGGATGGATGGATGGATGAAAAGATGGGTAAAAGGATGGGTAGGTAGATGGATGAGTGGATGCATGGGTGGATGGAAGGGTGGATGACAGGATGAGTCAGTGGGTGGATGGATGGATGAGTGGATGGACAGATGATGAAGGGATGGCTGGATGAGTGGATGGCTGGATGGAAAGATGGGTAGAAGGATGGGTGGATGAATACTTAGGATGGATGAGTGGATGCATGGGTGGATGGAATGGATGGATGAAGGATGGGTGGGTGGGTAGGTGGCCGGCTGGCTGGCTGGCTGGCTGGCTGGCTGGCTGGATGAGTATATGAACTGATGGAAGGATGGGTGGATAGTAGATTGATGAGTGCATGGATGGGTGGATGGAAAGATGGGTGAAAAGACAGGTGGATGGGTAGGTGGATGGATGAGTGGAGGCATGGGTGGATGGAATGGGGGGATGGAAGGATGGATGGATGAGTGGTTGGATGGATGGAGGGATGGGTGGGTGGACTCCCCGCTTGGCTGCAATTGAGCACTGTTTCCAGAGCTCAGGCTACACCTTTATTCTGGAAAGAACATTGAATCAGCCGTCTCCTGGAGCGCCCCCCGCTCCCCAGTTCACCCCCCAAACCAAGTCCCCAGGGTTGAGGAGGAACCAAGGCCTGGAGGAATGACCCCTGCTGCCGCCTGTAGCTCCTCTGAGTAAGATGGGCTCACTCTGTGCCCTGCCAGGTGATCTCCTGGGGCAGGGGGCCTGTCTCAGCACTGGCACCACCGGCGCTGTCGCTCAAATGCCCAGGGCGCTGGAGAAGGAAAAGGCACATTCTTGAACCTTGTGATCACTTCCTGGGAGAGGCTGTGGCCCAGGGGACCCAGCCAAGCGAGGATGTGGCCCCTCGCTCTGCAAACAGCAGCTCAATCAGCTTTATCTGTGGGGCCAATTGTCCCCAGGCGGGCAGTAGCATGCAACTGGGCTCCCTGGCCTTGATGAAGACCAGGAGACAGGGGCAGGGGAGGGAGGAGGGGCAGGGATGCAGAACACAGTGTTGCAGCAGCCATCCTGGGCCACAGCAGCGGCACTAGAGGGCAGCTTGGGCTGGACCCTGTGGCCTGCACACTCTCTCATCTGGACAGGCCTGCCAGCTTTCCAAACATCTAGGCCCATCTGAGGAGGGTGAGCAGCTGGGGTCGGGGGTGAACTTCTCCCAGCTGGGAACTCTGTGAGGGGCCGCATCAGGGCAGCTCCTGGGGTGGCACCTGGCCTGGGTAGCATCCCAGCAGGCTGTGTGGCCAGGGCCAGGGAAGCTTCCAGGCTTAAAGGGCAGGTTAGTGGAGGGAGGGGCTTTTCGAGGAGGGTACAGATCCCAGCAGAGACGAACAGGGAGCTGGGGTGATGGACAGGATGGGAGAGGAGCAGGAGGCAGGGAGGAGCTCCCAGTATACTCTCAGGTCGCCCAGACACCCAGTCCAGGCTCTGGCCCACGACCTCAGCTCAGCCTCCCAGCCCTGCAGTTCCAAGCCCTGCAGTTCCCCAGAGCTGCCCTGTCCTCTTCTCAGGACATTTGGGCTCTTCCCACCCTCAGCCATCCTTGGAGGGGCATCAGCCTCCCTCTCCCACCTCCTCCCCAGCCTCTTCAGTCTTTGACCGAGGGCATCATTGATGCAGAGCCGAGAACACCCCCAGCTCCAGGCTACCAGCCTAGGGCCCACCCAGCACCCCCCTGATGAGCCTTCGGGCCCAGTCTTCTTCCTGCTCAGTGATCTCCAGACCTTTGCTCATGTTGAACCCCTCCTGGGTCACTACCCTCTGTCTAAGGAGCTCCGACTCATCCATCAATACCCACGCCTCCTCCAGGAAGCCCTACCTCAAGCACCATCACTGGCAGGATTAGGCTCTCCTGGGCTCCTGCAGCACCTTCCCCTCCATCTCCCATGCTGAACCTCGAGCCCCAGAGGACCTCATGCAGCCAGGCCAAGGAAGATGCCTGGGGCAGTAGCCACCTCGGAGGGGCTGTTTCTCTCCCTCTTTTTCTGGCACTCATTCGTTTGTTCATTTTCTGGGGGACTTCTCCGCTGGGCCAGAGCTGGGGGCTGACAGCAGGTGCCCCACGATCGTGAGTTCTGGTGCGGGGGACAGAGGGCGGCCAAGCCCTGGCAGGGCTGGGCTGCCGAGGGAGGCCAGCAGAGCTCTGACAGCTGACAAATGGCTCGTCTGCAGCCGCAGGGCGCCAGCTAATAATTCCCCATCTTCAATCAGGCCCGGCTGGCAGGGCCCTTTCGATCCGGGTAAATGAGTACCTGGGGTCAGGGCTGGCTCTGGGAATCAGCCTGCCGGGGCCGTGGAGGGAGGCCCAAGGAAAACCCTTGGCCGCACCCGCGGAGGCCCTTGGTAGCGCTGGGGAGAAAGAACAGCAGCGGGCGGCCCGGGGCTGTCGGCTTCTCGGCTTCTCAGCACGCCCAGGCCTCGCTGACCCCTGTACCCACCTCCCCTGCCCACCCCCGGCCTCGGGAAAACGTGCGCCAAGGGCCACGGGCACGATAGGCTCCCACATGCAGCACCAGCTGCATGCCAGGCCCTACGCCAAGTCTGAGGATGGGGAGCAGGAGAGATGGAGGGGTGGGTAACACGCATTTATTAAGCACCTACTGTTGCTGGGCCTACCCGCCCTGCTGCCTGTGACCTGCAGCGGGTCCCACAGCCTCCAAGCCTCAGTTCCTCACCGATGCATGACGAGGCCATAGCATCTCCTTGAAGGGCTGCGAGAGGCTAACAGAACGCCTCCATAAACGTCCAGCGGGCTCTGCCGCGGCCCGGGTGGCCCCACCGCACCCTCGCAACCTCCTATGCGGTGGCGACCTAGGGTTAGCCCCATGGAATGGGCGAGGAGGCTGAGGCTCAGAGAGGGAGAGACACTTACCCGTGGTCACACAGCCCGAAGCGGGGGAGCGGGCTCCCGGGTGGGGCTGGAGGCGGGGGCGGGGGAACTCCGAGGGGTCCGGCTCAGGCCGGGCCGGGCGGAGCAGCTTCCCTGTCGCTCCCAGGTCCTGGAGGACCGGATGCAGCTGGAGTGCAAGTGCCACGGCGTGTCCGGCTCCTGCACCACCAAGACCTGCTGGACCACGCTGCCCAAGTTCCGCGAGGTGGGCCACCTGCTGAAGGAGAAGTACAACGCGGCGGTGCAGGTGGAGGTGGTCCGCGCCAGCCGCCTGCGGCAGCCCACCTTCCTGCGCATCAAGCAGCTGCGCAGCTATCAGAAGCCCATGGAGACGGAGCTGGTGTACATCGAGAAGTCGCCCAACTACTGCGAGGAGGACGCGGCCACGGGCAGCGTGGGCACGCAGGGCCGCGTCTGCAACCGCACCTCGCTGGGCGCGGACGGCTGTGACACCATGTGCTGCGGCCGCGGCTACAACACCCACCAGTACACCAAGGTGTGGCAGTGCAACTGCAAGTTCCACTGGTGCTGCTTCGTCAAGTGCAACAGCTGCAGCGAGCGCACCGAGGTCTTCACCTGCAAGTGACGGCCCGGCCACCCCCGCGTCGCGCGCGTCCTCGCCTTCCCTGCCTTGGCGCTGCCAGCGGCAGGCAGGGGCGGGTGCAAGCAGGAGCTCCAGGTGCAGGAGGGCGCCGGCCAGGGTCCACGTCCTCTGCCCGCCTCCCTGGGGCTCCCTCCTGCCCCCTCCTCCCACCTCCTGCGGCAGAACGGCCGCCGCGACTCACCGAGAGAGCGAGGCCGGGGGTCCCGGGGCTCCCCGCCGGGGCCCAGCAGGTTCCCTTCCTTCTCTCTGGGAAAGTGAACCTCCAGGACACACGTGTATCCCAGAGAGCAAAGTGACGACGACGAGACTGAGCGTCCCCTGCCCCACCTGGCGGCACGGACACAGAACAGCTACGGCTGGCTGGCCCTTCCAGACCATTTCGCAGGCCGGGTCTGCCACTGGGCCCGGGGGCAGTGGGGACAGATGTTGACACGCGTTATTTATGTTTTCTTAGTATCAGAAGAGGATTCTCAGCGCCAATTCGTAGCCAATCCTAACTCCGCCCTCCATGTCAGCCCATCCCCTCGCCGCCCCGCCCGCCAGCCCTCTGCCCTGCAGAGCTGAGGCCACCTGGGGTTAGTGGGGACCACATGGTGCCTGTGGGTCCTAGGAGTGAGCTGGGCAGGGGCTCGGTGGAACGCACAGCCCTGACCGGGCCTTGGAAGACAGTCATGGACAGCCTCTTCCAGGCCGTTTTCCCTTCTTTTGAAAATCCTATCGATGGCCGGGATCGCCTATCATCCCAGCACTTTGGGAGACCGAGGCAGGCAGATCACCTGAGGTCAGGAGTTCCGGACCAGACTTGCCAACACAGTGAAACCCGGTCTCTACTGAAAATACAAAAATTAGCCAGGCATGGTGGTACATGCCTGTAGTCCCAGCTACTCGGGAGGCTGAGGCAGGAAGATCGCTTGAACCCGGGAGGTAGAGGTTGCAACAAGCCAAGATCACACCACACTGCACTCCAGCCTGGGTGACAGAGCAAAAAAAAAAAAGAGAGAGAGAGAGAGAAAATAATGTCAAGCAAATCAAAATGTCACCCACATCAGGTTCCAGGAGTACCTCGACCCTGCCCTCATCCTGTCATCCTACCAGCCTGGTACCTCCAGTTTACAGAGCCCCCCCATCCCCCTGGAGCCAGCCTGACCCATGGGACAGTGCTGCCACGGGGTGGGCCGGCAAGGGACCTGTGGTCGGGGATGTGCGTCCCATGTGACAGATGGGACTCTGAGGCTCCGAGTGGCACAAGAACCTGCCAGAGACCCTGCAGCTTCGAGCAGAGGCTCGCACCTTGGCTCCTGCCCAGCCCGGGGCTCTGACCCGGGAGAGCACAGCAGGACCTCCAGGGTGACAGGAGGTGACTCCCATGCCTTGAAGCACTCAGCTGCTCCCTTCGCCCCCGACAGCCTCACTGGGGTCTGCACTCCCCTCGGTGCCTTTGAGGGTTTGCATAGCCTCGTCCCGGTCCTTTTACCCTGATCCTGATGCTGAGAAAATCTGGATCCAGGGAAGGTCGTGTTCTTTCTAGACGCTTCCACCCATGTTTCTGAGGAGCTTAAGTGACAGAGGGAGGAACCCATCCGAGGCCAGAGAGGATGGTCTGCGGCTGGCTGCTGCTGCGCCCTCCACTGCCCGAGGCCTGGCCCCCAGTTGAGGGCGGGTTCTCCTGAAAGCCCTTGGAAATGTGTTCTTGAGCAGCTGACACGCCGAGCGGCCTGGACTCAGCCTGGGGCAAGTGACTTCCTCCTGGGCCCCAGCCCTGTGGTCCTACCCATGTGCCCCTAACCACGCCTGGACCCTAACCAAGCCTCCGGGCCACCGTGAATGCCCCACCCTCAGCCTGGCCCCATCCGCTCACCTACCCCAAGTCCCAGAACACCCCCCCCCAAGTCTGTAGGCCCGGCACTCTCTGCAAGGAACCTGGTTAACTTATGTTATATAGCGTCGAAATGTCTATAATGTCTTTAAATTATTGTGACCTACACTGGGTACCGGAGAGGGGGATGGCTGCGGCCCCCATCCCCCATCCCATCCCCCATCCCATCCCCCACCCACATCCCATCCCCATCCTCATCCCCCATCCCACTCCTCATCCCCTATCTCATTCCCATCCTCCATCCCATCCCCCATTCCCCATCTTCCATCCCCCATCCCCCATCCCTCACCCTCATCCCCATCCCCCACCCCCCATCCCCCATCTCCAATCCCCCATGCCCCATCCTCCGAACCAGGCTCCTCCTTCTGCTTGAACAGACTCTCGGGGCCCCTGATGCCACCGAGCCACTCGCACTGTCCCTTGGCTGCCGGGCACCCCGCTGAGCCCGTACCCTCCCCTGGCGTCTGTCAGCAACAGGCCCTTCGCCTGGGTGAGATGGGCGTCGGGGGGGTCCAGACAGGGGTGATGGTGGACAAGGTGCTGCATCCCTGCCCTTCTGACGGCAGCCTCCCCTGGAGGGGAGTGCTCAGCCCAATAAAAGTTGGAATCGGAGAAGTGAGTGTGTGTGGAGTCCCCATGTGACGCGCCTGTAGCTGGAGCCTCACCAGGGGGCACACATGCTCTGCCCACCCAGAAAGAGCCCCCGAGGCCCTCATGTGTCCGCAGCCATCTGGCTTCCTCATCCTCCTCTGTGGGCTGTCCCTCCCATCCTCACACCGGAGACCCTTGCCCAGAACCCACCCTGGAGCTCGAGTCACGCTTGCCTGCCTCCAGGCACCTTTGGCCTGGCCTCACCCAGCCAGGGGCACTGGGGTGCTGGGCACAGACCCTGAGGCCTTGCCGGATAGCACCAGCCTGGGGCTGCAGGCAGGAGGGCTGTGGGCCTGGCACCTGAGGGGTTACTGGGGGATGGGCCAGAGCTGCTGTAAGAAGGGACAGCAGGGACAGCAGGCCCCGCCAGCCCCTGTGCCTCTGCTCCCCTCTGACCAGGGTGGGGTCTGGCTCCCAGGGTCTGTGTAGGTCCATCCAGCTGGGTCTGGTGGATTTTGGCTCGACGGCCCGGGGACCTGCCATGCCCTCACCAGGCCTGGGAAGGCAGCACAGGCCCCTGAAGCTCACAGCCACAGGCTCTGCTGCTGCCCCCCCAGAGCCGGCCTGCGGCAGGGCCTCCAGCCTGCGGGAGCTGTGCACAGGGCAACGAGGAGCGCTCCCCCGAGGGCCGGAGGCATGTGGCAGGGCCGGTTTGGCCACTGCCCGCTGTCCCAGCAGCCTGGCATCGGGTGGAACTGCTGATCAAACAGACCCCATCCTTGCTGTGCCCAGCCTGCGCCCCCACGGATCTGGCCAGAGACCCAGATCCCAGTGGAGGGGCCTCCAGGTGGGCTTCTCGAGGGGGATGGATCCCCCCACGGGGTGCAAAGAATGGGCATTAGCTAGAAAAAAGCACTGGGTTCCGTCCCAGCCCTGTTCCTTCCTGACTCGTGGGCAGCCTCTGGGGGAGACCCTCCTGCAGGTATGGCCTCAGTCTCCCCATCTAAGATCGGGGGTGGCCCGGGGCCAGGACTTGGTGGTTGGTGGGGCCCACGGGGCTGGCGTGCATGGGGCCTGGGCCGGGCAGCTTGGCAGGAGGCCCTGGTTCCTGTGAGACAGTAATCGAATCAGCAGTGCCGGTGGGAGCGGCACCCTGGGGTCCGGCTACTCCCACAGGCCCAGGAATGAGGAAGCCCCTGAGACGCCCAGACTGCACTGATTTCTTGGCCCTGGTTCAACCCCCACCCAGCCCCCTCGGGCTGCCCTGCCCATCCTCCCAGGGGGCCTGCTGGGGGCCTCGCCCATGCTGCTGGCTGGCCCGGAGGCCCACCTGACCCCAGCCCCAGGCTCCGCCTCTAAGGCTCATATTTTGGGAGCATTTCTTCCAGGCCAGCCCCTCAAGTCCCCACTCAGTGGCTCACCGCTGCACGGAGTGAGGTCCCCACGTACTCGGCCCTGGCCAGCCCTGCCCTGCTGGTGTTGCCCACGCCGGGGCCCTCCTGCCCCTCTGATTGGCCCAGGTGGTTCCCGCACCAGGCCGGTCTCACCGCCGCTCCCAGGCAGAGGCCAGTCCTGGGGTCCTCACTGGGTAAGGTGTGGGGTCCCAATGGCTGGGAGAGCAGGTGTGCTGTATCATCAGTACTCAGCATGGAAGGAGGTCATCGTGGCTCAGGAAGAGCCAGAGGCAGAGCAGGCCACGCGGAGACGGCCGTGCAGACACCTGGGAGCGGAGGGAGTGAGGGGTGGAGGGTGTGGACCGTGCTCCAGGGCCACGGCTGGGGGTGGGAGAGCCACTGATGGCCAGGAGCTGTCGGAGGCCGGTGGCTGGGACAGAGTGAGGTGGGAAGAGTGCAGGGATGTGGCTGGGCAGATGGCAGCATCCTTGTGGGCCACCATGAGGGCACTGCAGGGCTGGTGGCAGACAAGAACATGGTCTGCCTTCATTTCTAAGAGGGTCCCTAAGCTGCAGTGCAGAGGAAAGTCTGTGGGGCAAGGAGGTCACTTTCAGGTCAGGGCAAGAGGTGCACCGGAGAAGCGTGGGGTTCTGGAGGCATTTCACAGGCAGATGGGGCGTCCCCGCGCAGAGGTCCGGCAGGCCCTGGGCAGTGACCCCAGGGAGGGGAAGCCCAGAGGAGGCAAGGGTGTGCCTGGCCCCGGCTGGGCACCCCAGCTATCCTTCGGGTGTGGAGGGATTTGCTACCGGGCCTCCCAGGGGTGGGGAAAGGAGCCGGGATGCAAGCTCACTGGGGAACCTGGGGTGGGAGGCACCTGTCCCTCGTTCACCCGGCGATCACCTGGGGCCACTTGCCCTGGGCTCCCCCAGCACCCTGCAGACCCCTCTCCTGGAGGGTCCCTATGTTCATGCCAAGCTGCCGCCCCACACTGTTCTGCCCATCCAGGCACCCGGGTCGGCAGCGTCCCCATCCTTCCCAAATCCCGTGAAGTGGCTGACCACCGTTTCCCCACGTCCACCCTGCACGCTCACCCCGACCCCGCACAGGCCCTGCAGGCTTCCCAGCCTGCGGTGGGCCCTGGCTGCCCCTCACGAGGCCCCTCGGTCTGCACACCAGCCAGCTGGGGCTGGTCAGTCCAGGAGTGTCCCTGCCTGGCCTTGGCAGTTCCCTCAGGCGGAGATGCAGCCCCTTCACCTGGGCACGCTCCTGGGCTCAGCGGGCACGACGCTTCTTCCAGGACAGGGTTGAGGCGGCCTGCCTGGGCATGGCCCGCCCGGCCCTGCCAAGCCTTCCACAGCTGCAATGGGCAACCTCCATCCCATAATCGTTTTCTGCCACCTTTCCGACACCCGTCGCTGGCGGTGAAGTCAAAACTTGGCTCGAGACCCGGCGCTGCAGACCTGGCCTTGCGCAGCTCCGGGCGGGGCAGGAGGAATCCCTGCGGGGATGCGGAGATGCACCTATTTTTAGCCTTACGAAGAAAACTCAACCCCAACACGCACCGTATGCAACACAAATATTTGTTTTTATTCTTAAAAGAGCTCGAATGGAGGGTTTGGGGCCTGAAGCACACGCTTGGCTGAGTCACCCCACAGGCCCCGCCCCGCACAGCCTCCCACCCCGGAGCGCCCCTCCCTGAGCGCCCCAGCCCTTCCTGGACTCGCCGGGCAACCTCACCGTCATGCCCTTGCTCCGGCCCTCCGCTCAGGTGAGCTGTGCAGCGATGCCCCGCCTGCTAAGGTTGGCTGGAGCTCTCCCCGCTCCCCTGGGGATGCCCTTCCCTGCCCAGGACTCCCTGCAGCCATTGGCGGGGCCTCAGTGAGCCGTGCGGGGGCGGGCGTCCTCCTACTGGGGGTGCTGCTCTGATTGCCCCTTCTTGGCCCCTGAGCTGTGCCCCAAGAAAGTAAGATGTGCCCCAGGAGCTCCCAGGCTTGGAGAGGCCCAGGAAGGGTGGCTGAGCCGCTGGTGGGGACAGCAAAGAGGCTTCCATGCTGGGGCCCTTGGGGTGCCAGGGCACGGTTTCCTGGGGCTGCTGGAACGAGTGACATAAATGGGTCTTGAAACATTTATTGTCTCACAGTTCTGGAAGCCAGAGTCTGAAGTCGGTATCCCTAGGCCCAAATCCAAGGGTGGGTGGGGCTGAGCTCCCTCCAGGCTCCAGGGGAGGACCCTCCCAGCCCCCTTTAGCCTTTGATGGCTGCAGGAGCCCTTGGCTTGCGGTGGCCGCATGTGGTCTTAGAGGGCAGCATCTTCAAAATCTCCCTGGGGTCCTCTTCCCACGGCCTCGGGGCCGACGCTCCCTCTGCCTCCCTCTTAAAAGGATGCCTGTGATTGCGCACCCGGATGGTCCTGGATAATCCCCCCAACTCAAAATCCTCGACTCAAGCCTATCTGCGTCGCAGGGCAACCTCTCCAGAATCCAGGGATCAGGGGCTGGACGTCTTGGCGAGCCACCATTCAGCCTCCTGCAGGCAACCTGGGTAGGGAGGCTCAGAGAAGACCCCAGAGGCAGCTCCTTTGGAGCAGGGCACAGAAGAGGGTCCATCGGAGCCGACTGCAGCTGGGCATCTGGAATTGGGGTTTGGGGAGAAAAGCGAGGTCCTGGTGCATCACAGCGCAGCAGGCACGATTGCCGGTCGGGTGGGGGACGGCGCGCGGCAGGCCTGGGTGAGCGCCGCCTTTGACATGTGGGGCCCCTGTGTGCAGCAAAGCACCTGGCCCTCAGCCCAGCTCCGGTCATCGTGACCCCTGCTCAAGGGCTCCTGTGGGCATCAGGAGTGAGGCATGGTGAAGAGCTGACGTCCAGTGACCAGTGGCTCTTACCATTCCCGTGCCCCACCAGGCCTTCTGCCAGGGCTCATGATCCCTCTGAGCTCCAAGGAGGTCACAGTCTCGCTGTGGAATCTCCCCGGATCCCCTCATCTGCCTGTGGGTCAGGTGAGGCCGTGAGAATATGGGTCCCCAATCTTGTCCCCTGAACACTCCTTCCAAGACCCAACTTGCACCCCGCCACCCTGTCCCCTCTGCCCAAGCACCATCTTCTGTCCCTTCAACTCTGCGCCCCCCTCCTACGGTTTTCCAGCTGCCACTTGAGTGACCTTAGTCACACACACATCAGACTGCACCAG